AAACGTGTGAGGGGTGTGCCGAATTGAGTGTGCGTGACGCATGCGGGCGGCAGCACTGGGGCCTTCGGCGGAGCTCCCTATGGGGCCACGAAACGTGTGAGGGGTGTGCCGAATTGGGTGTGCGTGACGCATGCGGGCGGCAGCACTGGGGCCTTCGGTGGAGCTCCCTATGGGGCACGAAACGTGTGAGGGGTGTGCCGAATTGAGTGTGCGTGACGCATGCGGGCGGCAGCACTGGGGCCTTCGGCGGAGCTCCCTATGGGGCCACGAAACGTGTGCGGGGTGTGCCGAATTGAGTGTGCGTGACGCATGCGGGCGGCAGGGCTGGGGCCTTCGGTGGAGCTCCCTATTGGGGCCACGAACGTGTGAGGGGTGTGCCGAATTGGGTGTGCGTGACGCATGCGGGCGGCAGCAAGGAGGAGGGGGAAGAGGAGGAGGGGAGAACGCGGGGACCGTTTCTCCAAAACGAGGACCCAACACCACAGGATGGTTGGGAAAAAAAACAATGTCTGGATGCAGGGGCACAACGGGGCGCCACAGGACACCGTTCTCGACCTGACTATTATCGATCTCGCTGTGGGTATCGTTGTCGGCATCGCTATCGATGTATCTGTTGATGCCACTCTCTATCCATGTTTTGATTTCACTACGTATCTCACACTCCTTCTGACTATCGATCTCACTATGGACCTCGCGCTTGATCTCACTACAAGGTACCAGCGCATTAACTATACCAGCCAAACCAGGTGGCATTTATTTGCCCGCGCGCCCGTTCCTTTGGAAGAGCAGGACATGAACAAGAACGCCTAGGAGCGCCACGGGACACCACGATCGATCTCTTTATCGACCTGTGGCATCCTGTGAAGTACAGGGTAATCTGTTTGGCCGTCTATCTATCGATCGCATTCTCGCTATACCTACGACCTCACGATCGACATCCCTCGATCTATCGATCTCATTGTGTATTGACCTCACCGTCGAACTCACGCTCGACCTCATTATCGATTTGTCGATCGATCTCATGCTCGATCTCGCTTTCGGTGTCACGATCGATCTCACAACCGACCTCCCGGGACGCCCCGGGACACCGCGGGACACCGCGCCACGGGACATTACGGGGCACCACGAGACACCATGGGACACCATTATCGATCGTTGATCGATTTTAGGTCTCGTGAATTTGCTTGGTTTCTTGTTCCTTGAGCACGTACGATGCAAGTGCAGGGCAATATGTTTGGCTTGCTAACTATCGATCTAAATATCAATACTCGGATCGATCTCACTATCGATCTCCCCTCCCCCATCGATCGATCACGCGATCTTACAATCTCACAGGCGACTTCACCATCGACCTCAGTATCGATTTGTCGGTCAAGCTCGCTGTCGATCTCAACCGTTTCGCAATCGTTCTCACATGACACCACCGGACCCCGCGCCACGGGACACCACGGTACACCACGGGAGACTACGCAAGGGGACACCACGGAACACAGGTTGGACACCCCTGGGCCACCGCCAGCCAACCGGGGGGCGTGGAGTCATTACGCTCAGTTTTGCCTGAGCCACGGCAGGTTCATTCTTCTCGCCCGTCCACGCCGCGCGCGAATGCACGACATTAACACGAAACCGAAACCAATTTTCTGGTGGAGGGTTTCCGTTTCACTTCGAAGTCACCCCCCATCATCCGATTTAAACAGTTGAGATGTTGATCGGTTTCCGTCCTCCGGTGAGGCGGTGCATCGATGTGCCTCAACGTGCCGCGTGCAATGCTTTGTCGTGCCGCGTCTTTGCACATGTTGTTTGGGTCTCTAGGCCAGGTTGCATGTCAGTCTGACAGTTGGAAAGTGGACGGGGTCGAAAATTGGGCCTTCACGTGTCAGGGGACGCCAACTATACACACCAACGCCGATCCTGGCCAGGCCAGTACGCACCGCTTCATGGCCCAGCCGGTGGGGGGGCGCGTTCCAACCCATCCTGGGCCCAGGATGTGTGTGGCCGAGACCCGCGGTGATGCATAGTTGACGCTCCCCCGACGTTTGCCCCCCCCCACCCCCCTCCCCCCTCCCCCCCCCCAATGGGTGCCGTCCGCCCAATCAGCGTGGGCCCCCGCAGCTCGGCCGCCAGCGTGCCTGGGCTGAGCAGCCCAACCAGCGCGGGTCCCCGCAGCGCGCCGGGCAGCCCGGCGAACAGCAAGGCCCCGCCCCACAGCTGCGGCTGGTACCCCGCTCTCCTTTGGCCTCGAGCTCGGTCGGGGCTGCTTGCCCGGTGGGGGCGATCCAACGACGGTCACGGCATGGCTCGGGGGACGGGGCGTCACATAACTACATGATAATTTCATTCTCGGATGTCCGCGCGGATATCTTGGGTCGGCGATGGGCCCTCCCAGTGCAGTAGCGCTTTCCTGGCGCTTGGAATGGGTTCCAAGAAATCTGCGCGGACCCCTGGAAGCCTGTGTTCTTGTAACCGCTGTGGGCCCTTAGCCCCTGGCAGGCATTAGAGGCACAGTCGCCGTCACACCGCATTGCCACAGCATGCGAACACCCCGCCCACCCGGGCATGATGCCCCTTCAGCCCGTCACCAAAACGGTCCGTGTAACATCTGCAGCAGGCTGCACGTGTCCCTCCCCCCTCTTCCCATGTCTTGCTCGGATCGGATGTGGGTGGAATCCCCCGCCTTGCCAAGTCGATTAGCGAATTGCCCTTTTTGTCGGTTCTCGAGAGGGCGTGGCGGCCGCAATATTTGCGGGCCTTCGCCCGCCAGGTCTGGTCCCAGGGCGTTTTGCTAAACGGCATTCTGTCCGCCCCCGATTGGGGGCGGTGACCAGAGATCGGTGTCGACATGAAGAATTTTCAGCCACGTTTGTTCCCCAGAGTTTTCGAGAAACTTGGTTCCTCTGGGCGTCCGATCGGATCTGGCGCACCAGTTCGTCCTCTGCTCCCACCCGTTTCGCCCTCCTCGTTTTGGCTCCAGCCATGCTTACAGCTGGCCCGTGCTACGCAAGACGTTTCTTCGAGCACAGCCGTTGTTGCCCAGGATCGGGGCCATCTGCTGGAACTCATGGACGACGCACAGACGTCGGCGGCGCCAAGCGGCGAGACCGCTGACCTTGACGGCCGCTGCCCGGCGCCCAACGACGAGGCAGCGCTGGGCAGGAACGGCGACATGGACAGCTGCTGCCAGTCTCGCGACAACAGATTCCCTCGGTTGGTGTGCCGAGATCACGAGGTCCTGGAGGTCAGGAGCGCGACCCCCGCCACTCTGACTGCGGAGTCCTCGGGCCAGACGACCGAGAGGTCGAGCGTGGGTCGGGCGCGCTCGACCATTTCATCTAGTCGGCAGTCCTTTTTCGAGAATAGGCTGTCGTTGCAGAGCAAGGCTCTCATGTGCACGATCCCGCTGGTCTCCACGGCGGCGATGCTCTTCGTGCCTCTGTCGGGCGAGGGGTGGTTCGTGAGGCCCGAGCTCGGAGTGCTCATCGTCGGCGTGGTGATTTTCTGGGTGATCTGTTGCCAGGTCTCCCTTGAGGTGGTATTCGGCTTCTCCAGGTGCTCTCTTCACCACCACTTCGACAGGCGGCGCGTCGACGTCATGCGCGTGTGCAGATTATTATGGTTCTGTAGCGTGGGCGTGTTCGCATGCCTGACGCAGTTCAGATAGTCGGCATTCTTACCCGATTAACTGACCTCAGGCATCGCTCGCGTTGCCACCTGCACCCCCGGTCAATATTAAGAAAACCATGAGATGATAAGCTTTGGGGCTGAACAGGGGAGCGGATAACATAGGGAAGTAGGGGCTAAATTCCGGGGCAGTTTCTTAGCCAGCTGGCGCTCTCCATGTCGTGGCGCGCCCGTTGGTTTTTGCTCATGCGCCGTTGCGCGTGGCAGCGCGGGGCGCGCGGGCGCAAAGCGGCGACGCCGACCTCTGGCTCGCCCAGGTGGCGCCGACCTCTGGCCCGCATTGCGATTGCGAATGGCTGCGCCAGGGCGCGCCCGAATGCGCCAGGCGGCGCCGACCGCTGGCCCGCGCCGGTTTTGCTTATTTGCGATTGCGATTGGCTGCGCCAGGGCGCGCCTCAGGATGCCAGGCGGCGGCGCCGACCGCTGACCCGTGTTAGTTTTTGCTTGTTTGCGATTGCGATTGCGATTGGCTGCGCCAAAGCGCGCCCCGGGACGCCGGGCGGCGGCGCCGACCGCTGGCCCGCGCTGGTTTTAGCTTGTTTGCGATTGCGATCGGCTGCGCCAGGGCGCGCCCCAGGGCGCCGCAGCCGCCGCCGCCCGGCGCCCTGGGGCGCGCCGTGGCGCAGCCAATCGCAATCGCAAATAGCAGAGGCCAGCGCGGGCCGGCGGTCGGCGCCGCCGCCCGGCGCCCTGGGCCCCCCACCTGATGCGCTCTGGGTGGGGAGTGGCGCTGCGAAGCTCGGAGCAAACCGGGCGATTTCCTGCGCCATGGCTGGGACTCCGCGGCCTTCCCGCTCGCCGCGGCGCCGACCTTGACCACGGGGAGCTTCCGCAGGCAGCTGGTGTCTGCTAGTCTGTACTTCGTCGCGTCGGCCTTCCAGTATGTGGTCTTGAAACGCTGGGCCCGCGCCGCCAGCGTCTCGGCGGCCGAGCACATCGAGACCCTGGTGCATCAGAACCCGTACCTGCTTCTGCTCCTCGCCGCATTAAGTGCGCACATCACCCACGACCTGCACTGGCTTGCGCTGCCCAAGCACGGCCTCGCTGCCTGCTGAGCCTTGCCAGACCAACGCAGCGGGCGTCGAGGAACAACCAGCAGCATCAACATAGATCCCTCTCGCTTCGTGGGGAGCACGTTTGGAGCGCGTGCAGCCCAGTGATTGTGGGGCCTCTTGGGGGCTTCTCGGGAGGCCTCTTGTAGGCCCCCCGTAGCCATTTTGGCTCAAGATGACTATCACGTGGGGCATTCGCCTTGGTGGTCAAAGGGATGCCGCTAATCCGCGGCAGGCAGATCGGTTTACCGTTCGGCAGTCGGGCGCACGATGGCAGCATGGGGCTGGCCGCGCTCGCACAACGGGTACTGGTCCTGCAGCTGTGGGGTGGCGGGCAACTATGCGACGCGCAAGAAGTGTCGGGGGTGTGGGGCCCAGGCACAGCGCAAAGGACCGTCGTACAAGGATGTGCTGTTGGGCCCGACAAAGCGGGAGGTTGCGCTTCAGAAGCAGGTGGACACCATGCGGGCAGAGCTGCAGGGCCTCAAGAAGCAGCAGCGCGCCACGCAGGAGGATGGCGACGATGAGAAGCCCGTGGGCCTGGATAAACTCGTGCAAATCCGAGTGGGGAGACCAGTCCATCGAGTACCGGCGGGCGCAGGAGCGTTACATGCGGGCCAAGGACGCCAAGCAAAGCACGAAGCCGCACTCGGTCCAGCTCACAAAGGCACGGGTTGCCAGAGAGAAGCTCGAGAAGGAGGGGGCGGCAATCTATGACGAGGTCAAGCGGCACCAGAAGGCGACGCAGGAGGCGCAGGAGAAGCTCGCCAAGAAAAGAGAGCAGCTCGAGTTCGCAGAGGCTAAGGAGTCGGGGCTTAAGGTGCAGGACGTCTCCATCAAGGGCAAGGGCTTCCTCGCGGCAGCGCAGAAGCAGTGCGAGGGGGCCGTCGAAGGTAGCGGCATCAGCAAGGAGGAGCACGAGCATGTGTTCGCAGCACTCGCCAGGGTGCTGGACAACGTCAAGGAGGAGCCCAAGGAAGACAAGGACGGCGTGGGCACTGAGGAGGGAGGCTGGCGATGCTCCTGCTGGTGGCAGCAGCGGGGGCACAGGCGCAGCCAGAGGAGGGCAAGCTGGACGCGAGCAGGGTCCCCAGCTATCGCCAGAAGAACAAGAGTGGCTACATGCAGGTGGGGCGCCCGCGGATGCCAGCGAAGCACAGCGAAAGAGGTGGCTGGAGGTGTGCGCCAGCCTTGCGGAGCACAATAAGCGGGCCAAGCGATCCTAACAGGCAGCGCCAGAACAAGTTCGAGAGCCTCACCCTGTGGACGTTCAACGGCTCGGGCTGGGGCACCATCAAAGAGAAGATCGAGAGCTCAGAGGGGGGCAAGTTGCAGTGCTACGCAGTGCAAGAGCATCGCCTCACGGGCGACAAGGTCGCGGTCGTGTCGCAGAGCATGAAGGCGCAGGGGCGCCAGTTCGGCGGGGTCGACGCGAACCCGACGATAGGTCCAGGTGGAGAAGCAGGCACCTCAGCGGGCGTGGCGGTTGCGACGCCCAGGTGCATCGGCATGACATGCATGTTTGGCAAGGAGAAGTGGGACATGTCACCGCGCAACAGTCCAGGGAGGGCTGCAGCGGCATGGTTATCGGTCGGCAAGGGCATCATTTACGCGTCGGTCTACTTGTGGACGGCGGAGGGGATGACGTTCAGGAACACGGAGATCATCAACAAGGTGATAGGTCAGTTGGAGGCGCTCGGCGCGCCGTGGATAATCGGGGGCGACTTCCAGGTGGCGCCTGAGAAGATAACGGAGGTGGAGAGCGTTAAGATGGCCAAGGCGCGGGTCGTTGCGTCAGGGGCCAGGTGTGGCACGTGCAGACATGCGTACGGCGTAAGCGAGATCGACTACTTCATCGTGTCGGACAGCCTTGTCAACCAGGCGATGTACGTCAGAGTGCAGGAGGAGTGGCCGTCGGCGCCCCACAAGCCAGTGGGGCCCACACTCAGGCTCACAGCGCAGGAGCGAATGGTCAGGGTGTTGGAGAAGCCGAAGAAGTTGCCGGAGTTGGGCATTGGTTGCACCCCAGCGCCGCCGCAGTATCAAAAAATCGCGAGCTTCAGGTCGCAGGAGGTGGCCAACCAGGTGTGGAGGCAGTACATGCAGACGCTGGAGCAGGAGGCCTTCGCAGCACGAGGTCTCGAATGGGCACCCGACTACCCTGCAGCAGGACGGGCCGAGGAACCGACATGGAGGATCAAGCCGCTAAGCCTCGGCGGTGCCAACGTGTCACTGGCCGCCAGGGAAGCAGTCTGGTGGAGGTGGCTGGCGAGGACGCTACAGAACTTGCAGGGGGCATGCGCGAGGCTCAAGCTGGCGAAAACTGGCGACATCCAGAGGTGCCGACAGGAGGAGGCAACCGCGCAGGAGCACCAGTTCATCATCACGTACCAGAGGACCAAGCACCTCAACGCTAAGGAGCAGGGCAAGTGGCAGGCCAGGTGCGGGCTGCTGGCCGCTGGGCTACTCCGAGGAGCGCAGCAGGAGGCGAAGTTGCAGCAATGGATGCAGGAGAGCCAGGGCAAGATGAAGGAGTACGGCCAGAAGCTGTTCAAGGAGAGGCGAGCACGTTGGGCAGACATGTTGCAGGAGGCGGCAGCAGGAGCAGCTGGTGGTTTACACAGGCTCAGCAAGGCTGCAGCAGCATGGAGACCACGCAGGGCAGGCTCCATGGAGGACCCGGCGGACCCCATCGAGGCAGCGGAGTACACCCTCAAGGAGTGGAACGTGGTCTGGAGGGTCGGCGAGCAAATCCAGAAAGCAGGCTAGGCCGTGGGAGTGCGAAGAACGTGACAAGCTCGAGCCTTTCACAGACCAGGACGCTGACAAGCTTAAGGTGGTGGCTCGCACCTTCAGAAAGAAGACGGGGGTAGGAGTCGACAGGTGGCACCCCTCCACGTTGCAGGGTGCGTCGGATGAGGCCTACGCCAAGCTGCTGGACTTCTACATGGAGGTGGAGCGGACATTGCGCTGGCCCATCCACATGGGCACTGTGCTGTTCTTCATGATCCCGAAGACCTTGACCGCGGACAGGGTCATCGGGCTGCTGCCCACTGCCATCAGAGTGTGGGAGATTATGCGGGAGCCGTATATGGTCGAGTGGGCCAAGAAGAACTATCGGAGCTGGGGCTGCACGAGCTTCGGCAAGGCCGCGGAGGACGCGGCCTGGGAGGTGTTGCTCAGCCATGAGATGGACGATGTGGAGGAGCAGAGCGAGGAGGCGCAGGCGACGGTCACGGCGATTCTGGACTTGGTAAAGGCTCTCGAGAAGTTCAGCTTGCACGTGTTGTGGGAAGCGGGTAAGCAGCTCAACTTCAACACGGGGGTGCTGGCAGTGGTGTGCTCCTACTTCGCCATGACCAGGCGCCTCATCGTAGGTGACTCGGTGTCCAGTGAGACCGAGACGGTTACCACCATTATCGCGGGCAGCAAGTTCTCGGTGTGCTTCCTGAAGATGGTCATTCAGTCCACGGTGGACGGCCTGGTGGTGGAAAGACCGAGGGCGCGCTGGAGGATGTACGTGGACGACCTATGCGTGCGGCTGCGACAGCAGCATAGGCACATAGTTACGGAGTTCGGAGAGACAATCGACAGCTGCTTCCGAGGCTTCGAGAGGATAGGCCTGAAGTTCTCCGTGGGCAGCAAGGGCAAAGGCGCAGTAATGGCGAGCACTAAGTGGGCGCGAAAGGCCGTGACAGGGCCGACGCAGGAGCGAGGATTGCCAGTGGTGAGGGCCTGCCCTTACTTGGGGGTCGACATCGTCACGCACGGCACGGCGGTGAAGACCAAGAGCGGCAAGAGACACGCTACCATGAGGGTCAGGAGTCGTAGGCTGCTCGCCTTGAAGGGCGGGCGAAAAATGACCAGGGGTGTTGGCTTGGTGTACAAGTGCGGCCTGAAGCGTTCGGTTATGTATGGATGCAAGTGCCTATGCATGCCAGGTCATCAGCTTCGGCAGCTACGGCGAGAGGCAGGGCGGCTTCTACCAGGTGGACGAGGGGCCCGAAGCCTCACCTTGCAGCTGGCAGTGGCGCAGGAGGAGCCTACGTACGAGATCACCGGGGCGCCCATAGTGAGGCAGGCGCGTGCTGTGTGACATGGTGCACACGACGAGGATGGAGGAGGTCAATGGGACAACATAGTCACCATGTTGCAGCAGGCATGGCGGCGGCAGCAGCAGGACGTTGTCATGGAGCCCGCTTGGGCACGAGTGCGAGGACCAGCAGGGGCTGTCATCATGTCAATAAGGAGGGCTACGTGGACATGGCCTGCGTGGCACTCTTTCGTCTCGAAGGAGGGCTTCGTGTTGAACGTGCAGGAGGTGTGCCCCATGGACATCGCGGCGATGGTGCGCAAGGACGTGCAGGCAACCCTTTGGGAGGAATGGATGCAGGCGGAGGAGTTCAAGAGCCTGAGCCCAATGCCGTTGTTGGCGCCAGCGGTTGCGCAGCTACGAGCACGCGAGTTCCCGAAGCATGCGAAGAATGCGGCGAAGAAGGTCTTCATCGGAGGCGCGTGGACAATGGAGAAGCTCTGCAGGTGCAACATCGTGCCCACGGACATTTGCTTGGCTTGTGGAGAGGCGGCGGGCACCGAGCACCATCGGCACTACAAGTGCGACGCGCTCAGGGGCCAGAGGCTGCAGGCGCAGGCGGACTGGCAGCACGTGGCGGGGCAGCAGGACACCAACATACCGTGGGCGCGCGGGCTGGTGAGGTCGCCAGAGGCGGACTGGAAGTTCGTGGGCATCGAGGAGGACCAGTACTACGTGCAAGTGGTCGACGGTGAGGAAGACTACTTCACAGGCGACATTGTCTGCGACGGCTCGAAGCTCGGATACAGCGACTGGGCGCAGACGGGTTGGGCAGCTATGTCCCTCACCGATAATGGCACCGCGAAGATGCAGATGTGGGGCCCGCTGCCGTGCTCGTTACCGATCCACAGGAGGGTTAAGAGGGCCGAGATGCGGGCCTTCCTCAAGGTGCTGGAGCGGATGTTGCCGCCAGGTCGAGTCTACACAGACCACGAGGGCATCGTGGAGGGGTTTGCAGAGAGGAGAGCGGTGGTGCACGAGCTGGAAGCGACCACACGCAGACCTGCGGCGAAGGATCTGGCACAAGGTGAAGGACATCGACCTTGATATTCACTGCGTGATGCACGTGAAGGCCCACAGGTCCAAGGGCAGGATCGAGCAGCTCGAGGGTGAGGACCTGAAGATCGCGAACGGCAGCAGAGAGGTTGACCTGCTGGCGAAGGCGGGCGCGGAGATGGACGCGCACTACGGCAAGCACCAGGCGCTGGAGGACCTCGCAGGGCGAGTGCGCTGGGCGCTGCAGAACATTGGTTGGTGGTGCCAAAAGATGGGCGGTACGTGGCCAGGCGTGCCGCCCAAAGAGAAAGGAGTGCCAAGGCGAAGAGTGCCGAAGCCGATGCTGGCCCTGACCGAGCACGACGTAGTGGAGACGGGCGGTTGGCAGGTGTGCATAAGGTGTGGTCTTCGTGCGGCGTCCAAGCGGATGCGCATGAAGATGTGGCAAGCGGAATGCGCGCGACCACGTTGGCAGGCAGCGGGTTCGAGCAGTGTGGGAACAGGCAGTTCGTTGGAGGCCAGCGTGGCTATCGCAGCGGCGGCTGCAGCAGCAGCAGCAGCACGGCCTGGAGAACGACACGAAGAACGTGCTGAGCCTGAGGAGCAGGGCAGGCCGCATCGTGTCGAAGTCCATGGTCCGTGCGTGGTGTGTGTGGTGTGCGGTGCCCACTCGGCAAGGCGTCGGGCGGGTTTGGGGGCTGCATGCCCAGGCCCGCTAGCGCCCCGTGGGCGCTCCACCAAGGACGATGCGAAGAGGAAGAAGCGGGGCAGGATTCTGGCGGGTAAGAATCCGCAGAACGGCAAGCCGCTGGAGCAGGGCGCTGTCCTGCCTGTGCGGGGGGCTTGAGGAGCTGCACCAGAAGCGGCCGAAGGGGGCGTTCAACTATGTGAGCATGGAGAACGCGATGATGGCCGTGCTGGAGGGCAACCAGCTGGGCCAGGCCACCCAGGCCTGAGGCATGCCGCCGTCTGCGGCGAACGAGTCCCGTGGCGGGATCCGCCGGGGGCTTGGGGGAGAAAAAAAAGGCCTCTTGTAGGCCTCTTGGGGGCTTCGTTGGCATTTTCTGAGGCCTCTTGGGGCTTCTTGCGGGCGTCTTGGGCCATCTTGTGGCTCTCGTGCGCAATTTGGCCCTTTCGGAGGTTGTCTGGAGAGCCTCCGCGGCCGCCTCGGGGCTCCCTTGGGGTCCTCTTGGGCCATAAGGGGTTCGGCCATATTTGCGTTCACGTCCTCCCGCCCCTTCCCGAAGTCAGACGAAACGACGAGGGGTTTCTGGCATTTCTGGCATTTCTGGTTGCGCGGCGCCCAACCAGAATAACCAGAAAGACCAGAATTGGAGGATCTGGCACAGGAGTTCACCCAACGGGAAAACCCAGACAAAAACAAAACAAACACCAGAATAACAATATTCCGGCTGTTCTGCTTATTCTGGTTGAGCCGCGCGGAACCAGAGTAACAGCAACACCGCGAATCTGGTTATTTTTTTTTTTTTGGGGGGGGGGCCTCACCTGGCCAGCTGAGGGATGCGGGTGCTGGGTTTGGTATTCTGGCATTTCTGGTTGCGCGGCGCTCAACCAGAATAACCAGGCAATCCAGGATTGGAGGGCCTGGCCCAGCAGGGCACCCAACGGGCAAACCAGGAAAACCAGACAACCAAACAGATACGCCAGGATAACCAGATTCTGGCTGCCCGGGTTTTTCTGGTTGAGCCGCGCGGAACCAGAATAGCCAGAAAAGTTCGATTCTGGTTATTTTGGGTTTTCTGGTGTTTATAGTTTTTTTTTTTTTGGAGGGGGGGTCTGCTCCTCGCCTGGCCAGCTGAGGGATGCGTTTTTTTTTTTTTTTTTGGGGGGGGGCGGGGTGGGGTGGGGCGGGGCGGGGTGGGGGGGGGTGGTGGTGGGGGGGCGGGAGGGGGGGGGGGGGGGGGGCATTTCTGGTTGCGCGGCGCCCAACCAGAATAACCAGAAAAACCAGGGATTGGAGGGTCTGGCCCAGCAGGGCACCCAACGGGAAAACCAGGGATATATATATATATATATATATATATATAACTAGATTCTTCTTGTTCGGGTTATTCCGGTTGAGCCGCGCGGAACCAGAATAACCAGACAGCTTCAATAATGGAGAGATTATGGTGATTCTTGTTTTTTCTGGTTTTTCTGCTCCACCTGGCCAGCCGAGGGGCGCGGGCGCTGGCTCTGGTTTTCTGGTATTTCTGGCTGTGCGGCGCTCGACCAGAATAACCAGATAAACTTGGGGCGGATGATCTGGCCCAGCAGGGCACCCAACTGGGAAACCAGAAAAACCAGAATAACCAGATTCTGGCTGTTCTGGTGATTCTGGTTGAGCCGCGCGGAACCAGGATAGCCAGAACAATTCAATTATGGTTATTCTGGTTATTCTAGTTATTCTGGTTATTCTGGTTGTTCGGGTTTTCTGCTTTTCACATGGCCAGCTGAGGGATGCGGGTGCTGGCTCTGGTTTTCGGGTATATCTGGCTGCGCGGCGCTCGACCAGAATAACCAGATAAACGTGGATCGGGTGATCTGGTTTTCCAGCAACAAAAAAATGAAAACCCGACAAAAAATCAGAATAACCAGATTCTGGTTGTTCCGGTTATTCTGGTTGGGCAGCGCGGAACCAGAACCACAGAAAACCCCCAATCTGGTTATTATGGTTGAGCCGCGCGGGACCAAAACAAAAAAAAAAAAAAAAAACAAAAAAAAAAAACAGATAACCGTCGCATAGGAGTTCGTGTGCTTCGATCACATATATATATATATATCTATATATATATATACACATATAGATGTGCATGTATGCATGTATGCATGCCCACCCGGGTGCCAATCGCAGCGCAAAGCGTTCCTTTGATCACCGCTCCCCTTCCAGAGCTCTGCTCTGCTTCTGCGCTGTTCGCCCGGAAGCGTTCACGCTGATGAATTCGATTTTCACGAGCAGGCTGTTTGGCGCGCTGCGGGCCCCATCGTCCGGTTCCCATCGTTTGTTTGTCGTGTGGTTCAAGTTTGGCTAGGTTTGTTTTGTTATGTTTTGTCCTCGGGTGTCTCGGGCGTTCTTCATCGCGAGTGGAAACGCGCGCGCGTGGAGGGCTCGAGGGGTGACCTTCGCCGAGGGTAGTGGCCGTGGCCGCGTTGGCTCTTGCCGCGTCGTTCTGGCCACCTCCGTGGCTCGGCGGCCTCCGCGATGACGGCCCCCGCCGAACGCGAGAACCCGCAGGCGGGCAGTAGGAGTCGCGGCCGCAGCCGCGGCGGCGGGCCCGCTGGGAGCAACCGCAACAGGAGTCGCAGCCGCAGCCGCGGCGGCGGGCCCGAGCTCCCTGAGAGCGGCATAGGCGACGACGAGATGACCTCCATGGCAGCGGGCGGCTTGCGCTCCGCGCATGCGTGCCTGGTCAAGATGCAGGACGTCGTGCGCGAGTGGGGCCCTGGGGATCACGCGGGCCTCTGTCAGTCAGAAGATGGAGACAGCAGCGTCGGCATTCGAGTCGGCGGGGTCGGTTCTCCTTGAGACGAACCTCGCGATTGCCGCTTTCGGGGGCCTTGTTATCGCCTCTACCTCTTCCGGGGCGGACCCAGCGACTCGGATTGAGCCGGATTGAGCGGTGAGCGCTGCTTGGGTGTCCTGGGCTCGAGCGCGTGCGCAATGTCTAAACACCCCTTTTCCTCCTCGCCCTCCGCCTAGTCATCCTCCTCCTTCTTCCGCGGACCCTTTGGCCCGAAGCTGCGAACCCTGAGTTTCCCGTGTCGATGCCAAGACATCAAGGGTCAGGGATTTCAGCTTGTCGCGGCAGCGCATGCGCTATGAAGGACGATGGGCAGGCTTAACTAGCGGAAAAGGGCGGCGTGTGGGGGGGGGGGGGGGGAGGGCGCATGCGCTCGGGAAGGGTGGGAACAACGGCGAGGTCGATCGACGGCGCGAGGGCTGGATGAAGCGCACAGCGCTAGGATAGCAGCATGGGGGACGGGGCCTTTTTTTTCTTCTGCGCATGGCGCTATGCCAATCGCAACGCTGCGACGTCATCGCCGCGCATGAATTACGCAGGCGCCGAGAGCACGGCGTCCGCGCGCCACGCCTGGATGGCGCCTCCAACCTTCCATCGGTCGGAGTGCGCTGACAGCCTGACCGCGCGCTTGAACGTCTCCACCAGTACCGGGTGATTGCCATCATCAACGGCGGAGGCGCGCACTCTGCCAGCAACTCTTTCGAGCAGATCGACGTCGCCGACCTCGATGGCAAGGCCAGAGACAGACATTCGATCTGCTATTGGCACCCGCGCCCCATCAAGAAACGACGTCTTCCCCGGGGGGCCATTGCCGAACCCGTGGCCCTCCAAGGCCATCAGGTGGACATGAATCAAAGACGCCAAGCATGGCACTTCAAAGTTCCTTGCGTTGTCGATCGGGCCCATGCAAAACTTTATCTTGATGTGCAACAGCTCGGCCACACGTGCACCCATCGCAGCGGCGCCTCCCCGCCCCCCTCGCGTTCCCACTGGCCGGCCACGTCAAACGTCATGCGCTGCTTCGGCAGGATGCTCGCTGTGCTGTACGCCTCTTTATGCAGTCGAAGGTGCTCGGCGCGGGCTCGCCGACGCTGCGCCGCCCCTTCGAGCAAGCCAGCGAGCCCCTGCTTTTCCGCGCACATCGCGTCCAGCGTCGCGCGCGCAGCTTGGAACAAGGCCGCCTGCTCGTCGAGCGCCACGTCGAGAAGGCGCAGCTACGCGAAATGCCTAGGAGGAGGATGAGGAGGAGGAGAGAGGACAAGCTAGGTGCGCTCGCGTCATATCTGACGTCCTACCCCTCCCTCCCACCCCTTACCATGGCGCTGATTTTCTCTATCCGCGGACGCGTGTCGTAGCGGACCTGTGGCTCCGCGCGCGCGTGCGTAGTGGGTGGTGGTGCACGTGCGTGCGTGCGTGCGTGTGTGCGTGGTTGTCGTGGTGGTGGTGGTGGTAGTGGTGGTGGTGGTGGTTGGTGATGGTGGTGGTGGTGGTGGTGGTGGTGGTGCTGGTGGTGGTGGTGTTGGTGCTAGTGCTAGTGCTGGTGCTGGTGGTGGTTGTGGTGGTGGTGGTGGTGGTGGTGGTGGTGGCGGTGGTGGTGGCGGCGCTGCGGCGCGGCGGTGGCGGGCGGATGGGCGCGCGAGAAAAAGGCCCGCGCTGGGGCGAGAACGCCATCCTGAACGACGGAGGCCAAACACTGATCCGAAAATGAGGCACGCGCTGCAGCGGGAACGCGATTCGGAACGATTCGGGAGCAGAAATGAGGCCGGCGCCTCATCGAGAGCAGCATTTTCGAAAAAAATGACGCCGGCGCCTCAGCGAGAGTCGTTTCCCCGGATTTCCCGGGGATCTCGTGCGTGCGTGTGAAAAAAACAGTGCGCGGAGAGTGCGCGGCCATCGCCCGGACGCCATCAGGGGAAGAGGGGGAGTATTTTCATATTGAGTAATTGCGGAGAGGGGGGGGGGGGGGGGGGAGGAGGAGGAGGAGGAGGGGGAGGAGGAGGAGGAGGAGGAGGAGGAGGAGGAGGAGGAGGAGGAGGGGAGGAGGAGAGGGCGGGGGGCGGAGCAGTTAGCCTGAGAAGCGCATGCATGCCAAGGAGCTTCGGCGCAGAGGCCCGTGTCTTGTCCTCCATCTGGGCACGGCACTCGTCGAATATCTTGCGCAGCCATTTCGGCTTCGCTCCCCCATGTGCAGGGGGCAGCCAACCGTTCTTCATGTACTCTCGAAGGTCCTCGAATTTGACGTCCAGCTCCTCCTCGCACGCCTGCGCCAGCAAGACAACTTCTTGCAATGCCGCGTGGGCCCAATCGATGACGGCGCTGTCCACTGCGTCCACACGGCGACCCAATTCAGGGTCCAGCAGGGCGCCGTGGGGCGCGAACTTGAGCCCGCCCGTCATTTGCAGTTTCTCGACGCGGCCTTCTGTCGTTGCCCCTGC